ACGACTTCAAAAAATAATATAACATTATAATTTCAATATAATAATCAACAATGGAACAATACATATTACACTTCCAACAACTACCTAACTTACCGCTTCTTGGTAGTAAATCTAATGCAATTCCTAATACTCAAATTGTCTACAATTGCATGTCATACTACAGTAAAAAACGAACAATACATAGTCATCAGTCATCACAATAAAAAAGCTTCAACTTTAACCAGAAAAAAGCTACATCTAGGAGGTATAACTATTGCACAAATAATTCTGACACCACTCCTCCACGTTGGAGTGAAAAGTAGGTGTGAATCACAGCATGAGTAGTTAAACATCCTCTTAGTATTTGTGCTACAAAGTAACGCTTTTATTGATCAACAAAAATGGTGCAGTGGGAGGTGAGGGAATACAAGCATATCTCTCAAGACCAAATGAGGATGAACACTTCTAATCATTACCTTAATGTGATTGACAAATTTTTGTAAACCATTATTCGCTTGAATGATTGGTCCTACTTAAGAAGTACTCAAGAAGAGAAATAAATAGACCATATAGTGAAATAGTTACCTCACACATAACAAGAGTAGGTTCAATGACACGCTCCGCAACCGAGGCATTAGCTGCATCTGTTCCACCAACGGATGAGATTTCTTCCACCATTCTTGTCTTTATACCAGAACCAATATTGTCCTGAGATTGTGGTCCCTCTGTAGTGATTTCATAACAAGGTTCCATATCTACAGCACCATTGCTTGACTCCTTGCTAACATGTTGAGACACATAATAACTCAACAGATCTTGTCTGGCAGGAATTACGTCAGAAAGGAAAACACAATCAGGCAGTAAAGCTGGCTTAGCAAACCATAATCCAGAACCATCATCACGAGTGTAAATAAGAGGAGGGGCATGCCACTCCTGGCGGTCGACTGTGACTAACACAGACTGCATTAAAAGATATTTTCCAAGTCAGGCAATATAGTTTAGAAGTAGTGGTCAAACCGAGGCAAGTTAAGTTATTACTCCCTCCGTCCCGTTAGAAGGTTCCCACTTTCCTTTTTCGGACGTCCCATTAGAAGGTTCCCATTTCCATTTTAGGAAACAATTAACAATCTTAATTGACAAATTAGTCATTAAATATTAAAAATAATACATTTATAACATCACAGTTATGAATACTAACACATTATAATATATACCTATTAAAATTATTTCTCAAAATATACCCGAAGTACTTTATTTAATTATCACCTAAATAACCGTGTCGTTTTGCTATGGGAACCTTCCAACGGGACGGAGGTAGTATTAATATTTAATAGGATCTAAATGGCCCCAGATGTACCTGTATCCGGTGACGGTCTGTGTTGCTTATGTACTCAAGAGGTACTCTTGAATCCCTATTCAAGTTAGATAGGACATGTATTAACTCCTCAAGATTTGAAATAACTTTGCCTCCAAATTTCTTAATGATAGAGTGGTCAGGAACACCAGCTCTAGAGAACATATATCTGCAATTGCAAATAGTGAAATAGAAAAGTGGTTACAAATTCTTTCAAACTAGCATAACTAAAGGATCCACAATTATAGATTTATATAGTCAAAATGCATTGTTTAGTACATAAAAATCGTCAATTAAGTTTCAAGGAAGGTCACTGTTGGGAAAAGGTAAACGTCATAAAAGTCAACATTTTTTAAGTTTAGTAAAAAATAAAATGATGAAAGTTGAAGACATACCCTGACTCTGCAACATAGACAAGTCCACATTGAAAATTGAAATTTCTAGCCTGCATCATGGATAGGGGAAAGAGTAAAAAATATCACCATGGGGACTACCATACACATAAAAAGCAACCAAGAAATCCACAAATATTTTATATACTTAACTTTTAGCATTTTCACTAAATTTTCAGGTTTTATTTTGGATCGCAATATACATTACAACATAACGGTGTGAAAAATTCAGCTCCTCAAAACACATTATACATGTTACCACTGTAGGGGCCAAAACATCTGATACAAACACACATTGATGAGTTGCTTGTTACAAAAAGGTTTTTAACTTTTACGATCTAAGGTTTCTTATATTGGAACACTTCCTAGCTGGAACATCTACATTTTTCAAGCTTGAATTAATACAAGCACTTTACCTACCTTGAACTCTTATCTTTTGTTAGGATGACATAAACACTATTTTCATAAGAGCTGATTAATATTAAAAACCTGTTGATATGAAAGGGAGTGTATCACTGCACCACTAACTTCCAAGAAGCGGTCAGGAGTTATTGAGTGCAAATTCTGGACCTGAAATTAATCGACATAGTCAATTATTCCCTCATTCTTGACCGGCATAGCACAATATAACTCGTCAACCAAAACTTAATAATATTTACATATACATTAAACATTTACATAGAACTATCCAAACACATGCATTGTCTATTATATAATGCAAGGATTAGCAAATGACTGGAATAAAAGCTTGGTGATTACCATGCAGAATCACAAACTCACCACTAATTCAACGGTCAATGAGGCACCACCTCTTTCAATTTTAAGTTCAACATTCTTTCCGACATTGTCATCAAGTAGAGTTTCCATCTCAAGGAAATGAGTAGTCACCTGCAATAGTTGTTCCTTAGAGAATGATATTGGGACAAAAAAAATGAAAAATCATAAAATATAATCTTGCTTGAAATTTGAAATCAACAAAGACCTTTATGAAATGTTGCTTGAAATTTGAAATTAACAAATGAGCGATTACAGGGTGTTGAAAACAATTTTTATTTATTATCATGCGCAACGGATTGAAGGACGATCAAATTGTTTCAGACTTTCGGCACAAAATATTTGAAAGATTTGCAATAGTCATCTATAAATCTAACAAAAAAAATAAAACCTAAGGTAGATTTCCATTATACTGACACAAACATCAGTTTAAGCTTTGACCTAAATAAAAAAGGTGATACATCCTTATTAATGACTCCTCTTAGGTATGATTGAGAGGGTTGCTATGTTGCACGGAAACGCGAAAGTCATGTAGAAACGGGAATCAGGAAACATCAACGTTTTCCCAAAAAAGTCTTGTTTATAGAGTTTCCAAAGAGTTTCCGAAACGGAAACGTACTCTTTCCCGAGAATTTTTGTGCTACATAGGAGGGTTGTTTTCCAAGATGACACTACTGGCTGTCTTGGGACCACTCTTCCAAGTTTTAAGAGAATCGGATCACCTAAAAAATTATCTAAGATAATATGACTCAACATACACACAACTGACATGAATAACCGAATCAGGACGAAGATCATAGAGGCCCTAAGTCTTCCACTCAACGCCAAACACCTTCCTCGTACAAGAGACACAACCAAAGAATCAGCTGAAAATGTTATAGAACAATTGATAGAGAAAGTAACTTTGCTAATAGACACAAGATTAAATGGACTATTTAGAACATATAAGACATCTTCCAAGGGTAAGGATGGCTCAGGAAGAGCTTCATCTATGCTTATAGTTGGGTTTGAAGTCCACTGGCAACGATGAATGTGGTAAATCATGAGGTTTAGTCAGATTAGATAAAAGACATGAATTACCAGAGGCATTATCAGAAGCGCCTGAATAAAGGATCCACAAACAAGGAGTGTGAAACACAGGCCGCAGACCCACCTCGTTGACTACATTTCTATTGGAGGTTTTTTGTGGAATAATACCATAAATGAAACAACAATACTGGAAACTAAACAATAACACAAGAAGGCGAGGCGTGGCATGATCAGCAGCTGGAGCTTTGACACAATTTGGAAGTCACAATGATAGATGAGCGGAAAGGGATAGATGCAACAAAAACTCAAGCTTGGTGCAGTAGTCTTCAGTAGTACATAAATGATGCAAGTGTGGTCATAATCCGACCGGTGGGTCTCGAAGCTCATATCAGCACAGTGGTAGAGTGAGATTGGTCAGATGACCTCTGGAAGTACTCCATCATCGCCTGTGGCTATTATTCATGCCAAAGACTAATATTTACGCTGGAAGTGAAAAGATGACAACTAATATTGGCTTCAATACCATGTGCAAGTAAAGAACATTTTTATTCTAATGTATCAGAAGGAGGTGTATACTACATCTAGGGTTAAGATAGCAAGTAAAGCCCAATACAATTAGGGTTAAAATTTTAACACAACGTATGAAATACTTAGCAGAAGAGGAATGATCCTGTCCAGCAGCCCCCGGTCCGAATGCCGTCCGAACATGGCCATTTGGGGCACTTTCCGGTGGAATTGTTTGATGAAATTTTTTCAGCATGTTCCTGATCACGTCTAGTTTGTCCATACAAAATTTCAGCTCAAAATTCGATCGGGAAGGCATTCAAATCAATTTTTGATGTTGACTGCGTCAAAATATACATATAAAAATGCAGTCAACTTCAAAAAATGATTTGAATGCCTTCCGGAACGAAGTTTGAGCTGAAATTTGGTATGGACAAACTAGACTTGATGAGGAACATGCTCAAAAAATTTCATCAAAAAATTCCACCGGGAACCGCCCCAAACGGTGGTGTTCGGACGGAGGCTCCCGTCCGAACGTTCGGACCTGAACATTCTTGCTTAGCAGAATTCATATGTTTAACAAGTAAATGCTAACACTGACCTTCTCATTCATACAAACAAGTACATCACCTGGCTTTAAGAGATCATAAGCTGGGGCACAAGGCACCTGAAACAAACCAAGAACTCTAAGAAAGCAGGAGTATACAAGAGATTAATACATCCTAAACAGCACCAAGATGACATACCACAGAATCAACAACAAGCATTCCAATTTCACCTGGACGAGAAGCACTTCGTACCAACTAATTTGTGAGACACATTATCAGTGTTATTATCATTATTTATCTGAAGTGCATAAAAATACATAAAACCGTCACTTCCATATACCCGTTCTGTTTCGCTATGAACACCAAGACGACGGGTCTCATCAAATCCTTTATGAACAAATGTAACCTATACAACAAATTTCCAACTGTGAATTTTACCATTACTAGAAACGGAAAAAAGTGCAAGAAATGAAGAGTTTCATTGAAACAGAAAAGGAATAAAATGTAGATGTCAGTGCCCTTTGAAGTAAAATACTATGTAAGAAATAAGGTTAATTCTGATGTCCTAAATATGAATTTCATTTAGACTTTTAAAAACAAAAAACTGGAAAGAACATAAATGATTAATTGACTTCCAATACTGTCAATGGAGATGTTTAATTAATGAAAATGTGACTTACTAGCTCCCTCTGTCCCGCTAAGATTGTCTCATCTTTGTTTTCCAGTCCATACCATTAAGATTGTCCCATACCGAATTCGATAAAGTTTGTGTGGTTCTAAAGCATTCTTACTTTATAATTACTTTATCAATTCAATATTAACCACACAAACCCACTTTTCTTTATTTTTTTACCCATTTTTCTTAATAACCGCATCAACTCCTCATGTTCTAATTTTAGATGGACGGAGGTAGTATTAACTTCCAATGGTGTTAATTAATGGAGATGTAAACACGATATTCTATATATCCAATATCCGAAAACAATGTGAACAATGACTATTGAATATGAAGTATTGTATCTAAAAATGAAGTAAATTCCCGAGGGATAAAATTATTTAAACTCTGAGATAGAAAATTGATTTAGATTGTCATCCAGTCAATCATACTCCAACCACAATGCTTCACTTCTTAGTCTAAACACTAGCATAAATAAATGTCCCACACCGGAAAGATTTGGATGAACGAAGTGTTATATTAACACATGGGCTATTCCTCCTATCAAGTTGACCTTTTAGGATGGAACCCCAGATCTTAACATCGAATCAGAGCCAAATCGATCCATGGTGTGGGGCCCCTTATGACACGATTATTAAAAAAATTGACAATTACGGCCGGATGAAAAAAAACGGACCGATAAAAAAAAACGAATCATGGCACGATCCAGGCGAAATGTCTGGTCGTGAGGAGGGGTGTTAAATGTCCCACACCGGAAAGATTTGGATGAACAAAGTGCTATATAAACACATGGGCTACTCCTCCTAACAGGTTGACCTTTTAGGATGGAAACTCGTGTCTTAACAATAAATAATACAAAACTATAGAAGGATAAAACTTTACAAACCTGAAGCGTGCCACGAGGAATAAATATTGCCTCCCATTTGTGTCTAGAATCTCTTCCTTGTTGTAAGAAAGCTAAAGCCCTTACAACCTAATACAAATGAAAATCCTACTGATTGAGCATGCACTTCCAAGAAATCTAGTTTAAAAATCAAATGTTCAATGTAACAAAAAACATTAAAGGGAAAAAGAGATTGAATTTGATTCCATTGCAGGCGAGCAAAAAATTAAAGTGCAAATTAACAATGTATTTTAATCAGTCGTAACTCCTAAGTGCTAATAGCTACAAAATCTGAGAGAAAATGCAATAATAAAACTACAATTTTTTTAGACTTATCATAAGCAGAGATACTTCGATAAATACTACTGTCCCATTTTACTTGTCTTACTTTCCTTTTTGGGTTGTCTCAAAATAAGTGTCAAAATTTCCCTTTTTGGAAAGAAATATGTGGTACATAACATTTCACTTTATTATATACTCAAATTTCAACCACAATTTTTACCTTTACAACTACTTTATTAAGAATTGTGCCAAAGTCAAATGAGACACATAAAATGGGACGGAGGTAGTATAATATTATTATCTTACTCGCTCTAACGGAAGGAAAAAAGCAGAGGCGCTTGAATTATTGCTCCCTGCATTCAAAGCAACCGCTCTGCCCTTCCAGTCAATTACTGGAGAGCCACTTGAACCACCCCTAGTCCCAGATGCAGCCTGTGTTGTATGTAACAAAAGAGAAGATGAAGTGATAAAGCTTAGAGTATCTGGTAGGCGAAATGACTTATAATGATTCAGAGCCCAAGAAAAGGTAATAAGATTGCCAAGCTTACTTGTATGTAGAATGTATTGAAGTCATTGTAGCCATCACTGCACCCAAAACACAAATCATCATAAAAATGCAACAAATGTGGAAATCTTTCACCATATGATAATGGATATAAATAAAATATCCCTTGAAACTTTAAATCATTTAAACCCATGTTTAATCTTAATCCTAAAAATTAAACTTCAAGTCATACCGAGGCTTGCACAATATGCTACTGACGCTTAAGCGAAAACGCATGGAAACCATGCACAGCTCCCATTTGCCATATTTCAGAAACTTGAAAACGTAATGGAAACTTCAAATGCATGACTCGTGACGTTCCATAATGGCAATGTCTTTTTCATATATTTCTTGATGGGCTATGGTGGACTGAACCCCAGGGCAAAGTAAAAAAAAAATAAGGTATTATTTTTAAAAAATTTCATTCACCCCACCCCAAATTCTTCTATAGCCGAGTCCAATTTTTCATCGCAGTCCATAGAACAAAATCTTACCATCTAACATCTAATCTAAATGTTATACGCATCACCTCTCACTTAATAATTGGCACTTAGTATATATGTATAAGTTATAACTGTATAAGGGTCATAAAGCCCATAAGGCATAACTGTAATAAATACAATAAAATATGTTTTAATTAAGAGCTTATTGACATGCTCACGGTAACTTGTAAAGTGTTTGAGTATCTTCATGAACATTGCCCAAAAGTGAGTTCTCGGGCAGAAGTTTGTAGTGTATATAGACCCTCTCCATATTTTGGATTTGTGTTCAATTTACTTTTGATGCACAAGGTTATGGGAATAACGAGTATTTTTGTCAAGGGCTTCAAAAAAAAATTATTGGGAATCTTGATAGCCATGAGACATGTTTATACTACACAACTCATCCTCGGGGAAATGAGAAAAATAATTGGGAAGGTATGAGAAGGTTTTCTTGAAGAAGTAAAGGAATTTTGCTCAAAACACGAAATTCATGTACCGGAGTTGGTCATTGCCGAAAAGAAACTAAAGTTGATCGAGCATCATTATCACTTTGATGTTTTCAATGAGGCAAAATATTTTGTATTGTTGGAGTTAAGGGCCCGGTTTAATGATATAGTAGTGAAACTCCTTTCTTTGAGTGCTTCAATAGATCCCTTTTTCATATGAGTCGTTCAGTGTCGATGCTATTTATACTCTTGCAAGGAAGTTCTATCCCGAAGATTTTAGTAATCACAATATTCGTGCTTTGGAATTCGAGCTGCAACACTATGTTCATGATGTATACATTGTTGGAATTGATCATGATTCCCAACATACATGATACAAAGTTTCAAGTATTTGCACTTGTTGAATTATGTGAGGAGCTGACTAAGAGCAGAAGATCTGATTCATATATACGTTATGATGAGCAGATTGATTTGCCTTGTATTGATCTTACTCTTTCTATTACAACAGTAGAACGATCATTTTCTTCCATGAAACTTCTAAAGACAGCACTCCGCAACAAAATGGATGATGACTATCTTAGACTTTTTATATTGAAAAAGATCTTACTCTTAGTATAAATGTAGACTCTATTGTTGATGAGTTTTTTTTTGTTCCAAAGCCTCATCAAGAATAAATTTAATGGAGAACTCTTACTCCCTCCGTCCCGCTAAGATCGTCCCAGACACTATTCACTTGGTCAACACAAATCACTCTTACTTTAAATTTTTAACTTACTTTATATATAAAATTTTTATCTAATTTGTATATTGTTATTTTAGGAACATGATAGATAAGAAAATATAATTTCATTTTGAAATTTAAAAACACACGTGGTATTAGTCGAAGGGTTGATTGCCAGGTGGGATGTGGATTGTGCGGGTTGGACGAAAAGTCGCTGTTACATCTGCTCGTCCGGTGTCCGGTAGCGTCTGAGTTTTGGCGTGCTGCTGGCTGGAGGGCGATCGAGCAGGTCGGTCGGACGGCCATTTCTGGAGTGGTTGGAGTTGCTTTTCAGGTGGAGAAGAAGGAGAATTCACAGAGATTGATTTGGGGTTGTTGGGATTTATGGTGCGAACGAAACCGGCGATTATGGCGCGCAGGGAAAGAGTCCGATCTCCTCTCAAATTGTTCACCGGACAAAATGTTTTGTAGATGGGTGGCTGGAAGTGCAGCGAAGGGGGATGAAGTCTGGTCCGGAACAGAGAGCTGATTGTCAATGGAAGAGGCCGGTGGTGGGATTCTGTAAATTGAACGTGGATGCAGCTGTTCTGGAGAATAAGTGCGGTTTTGGTTGGGTTCTACGGAATGATTACGTAATTCAGAGGTTGATACCAACCCTGCAATGGCATTTAGGATGTTTGTACCTTTTTAAGTTGAGGACAGTTAAATAGACTAGATCAGATTAGGTCAGTCTTAAATGGACTAGACCAGAATAGGTCAGACTTCCGTAATTATAAAATATATAGAGATCAGACATTTATCAGATCAGACCAGACTTAAACAGGTCAGACCAGACCAGCAAGTTACAGTCCAAGTAAAAACATCCTAGGTCACGATTACTTAGTCAATCCAATGGTGGTAGACATTGTACCCGTGCGCATGATAGATCCAACCTAGTAGGCAGGAGCTGTAATCTACACACGGTCGATGCGGGTTTCGATCGTTGGTCAATGTTTCAACTTTCTCACCACTCAACCAATTAAGCTACCCTTGCAGGTATGATCGGGCAATTGCGAGGTGTTCTCCATTGGAACTGAACTTCTGGGAATACGTGAAGCTCTTAAGCTCTGTCAATAAAATGCACTCAATATATTTTCTTTCATACCAGTTTATCAAAACATTTAATTTAATTATTATTAGGAATGTTATTTTTTGTTTTTGTATGCATAATTATGAAATTAAAAAAACAAAATTGTTAATTTTTTTTTATGTTTTCCAGTTTTCATAAAAAACAAAATGAGATCATGTGATATTCAATTATTTATGGAGGCTCCATTAATTAAAATTTTGTGCTTTCGTGGTTTTTTGGGCTTAAGAACACTCCACCAGTTAAAATTTTAGATTTTCTTTTCAGTTTATATATATATTATTGGTATCATATGAATGATCATAATAATCCATGAATTTGATTTTTTTTGAAAAATTTGGAGAACATATTAAAAAGTACAAGAGTTTAAAAAAATGGAGTTTTAATGACGCAGGAATGACGCAGGGCTGAGTCATCAACTTTCGTGCAACATGTGTCGCCCCCTTTCCTTTTTCTTTTTCCTTTTGTTCTCTTTGTCAACTCTGCATATATATTTAACCCCTTCCACCCCCTTTCCCACTTTAAATATTTCTTGGACTCATAATTAAGAGTTCAAAAGCTACACATTTAGCATTTTGGACTCATAATTCTTCCCCATTACAAATGGTCTAAGGAACAAACTTGGGAGTAGGTTGAAGTGGAATCGAATGCATTACGGGCTATTGTTGAAATCCATAATGGGGCTAGTATTTCTGCCATTGGAGAAATGTGTCAAAAATTTAAAGAACTCTATTTTTCTCATATTAGTCGATTTGAGAACAGAGTTGCTCATGAGTTAGTTAGAGCGACTGTTTTTTTTTTCTGATAGCCGCTTTTGATGGTATGTCCCACCTAATTGCATTATTGATGTTTTGAGCTTTGATTTGATTAATTACAATTAATTCCTTTTCATTAAAAAAAACATATACGTATGTGGTATTTGTGAGATCTATGGTTCTTGAAAAATCAATAATAGTTATGTCAATTGTCGAGATTGAAGATTTTTCACCAATTTTATTAGTATTGATATTGTATTATATTGTAGTGTATTGAATTGAACCGAAAAGTTAAAGTTTCAAACGGTTTGAACCCTTAATTTGGACCGTACCATAGCGTTTGAAATCTCATGGCGTGCATGTTTTGGTAGTTTACCACAGTATTTGGATTGCGTCCATCCCTATGTAATTAAAGTGAACTCTCTAATTTATGTAAATATGAAAAAATGTAATTTCTTATTTTTGAACCACTTATTTATGTTAAGAATTTTGAACTACCTAATTTCATTTACTCCGTAATAGTTAACTTAGATTGTTAACTTTTTCCCGTAATAAGAGTAAAGTAAGAATATAAGATGTAAACAAAAATCAATTCGAAAACAAAAAACACTCACGTCCTATCTGGCCAAGAAACCTCATAAAACACCTAAGAAGAAAATTGTGGCAACGAGGGCATCCAATGCAAAATTCATCATTGTGCTTCTTGCATGAATTTAAATACTAAGTTAGTAATTTACTAACTAATTTTAGATAAATAATTGACATTATAAGTTGCTATCAACATAATTGGGAATAAAGTGTTGATGGTGGTGGTGGGATAGGGGCTAAGGCCAAAGAGGCCACAAGCAAATGGAATGCTTCAAAAGAGAGGGTACGTACTTCATGTACTTTGGAGCATCTCTATCTAAACGAGCAAGGGTGCCGGCCAAAATAGAGACCTGTAAATTAATTCACAAGTAAAAGAATAATACTTAATAATCCGTTCTTTATAACCTTGTCAAATTTGATTGACATAAAAAATAATGAAGTAAAAATTGTGTGATGAAATCAGAGGACATATATAACATAGGAACTCGAAATTAGTTGATTAAAGGAACAAAAGGAATGCGTGAGCATGGTGCTATAAGACATTATTAAAAACCACTAGACTCTCGATCATGTCAAGTGCATGAGCCTCAGAAACAAGGAAGTTTGTTAATTCGAACAAGGTGGGTTATAACATTTCTGAAATACGATGGCATGACCACTAGGGCACTAGGGCTTGGAAAGCCAAAAAATATAAACACATAGAGCCTGTTTGGTGTTCACACTATAAATTACAAGCATAAACCATGTTGATAGCACTCGCATCTAAACATAAAGAAAAATCAACTTGCAAATTGCAATGCAACATATCCTCATCGCACAATAAAATGGAACCTAATACGAAGTATAATGTAATATATTGTACGTAGTATGTAGTACAAGTATATTACATAGCAATTAAGATTGTCTCATCTTTTCTTTTCTTTCCATTCTATTATGATTGTCTCATACTAAATTTGGTAAAATTTGTCTAGTTCTTAATCATTCTTACTTTTTTCTTACTTTATCAATTAAATATCAAAAACATAAATTCATTTTCACCACATCCTTATGTCCCAATGTTAGTGGAACCGAGATAGTTACTCCATCTAGTTTTATTAAAATAAAGTCTTTCTTTTCTCTTTTATATATTTCCTCCTAATATTACGATAACTTTTGTAATGTAACGTACTCCATTAACATTCTTTTGCTCATCCTTTTTTTCACTTTACTTACCATTTAACCTTTTGATTTTCTGTCGAACACTTAGTACTTTTTCTCATTTTGAAAGATCACAATTGTAAAATAGAAATTGTCACCTTTTCTTGAATTAAAATCAAATTAGCCCCATATGTTAATCTACTTCTACGTTATGGGAGGGAGTGTACTACTCAAATAATTTGTGTCCATTTTTAATTATTTCTTTTAAAAAATTAATGCCGACAGGATGTAACTAAGAAAAAAGTAGAAGTGTGAATTAAAAGAACAAAGATACAATACCTTCTCGCCACTATCATTCCCCACTACCCTTATTTCAAGGCCCACATGAGCAGCCTCAGGAGCAAGAGGGATTTCCTCATAATCAAGGAATTGTATTGCACCAGGATCATAACGAAAAAAACCAAAATCATGAACCTGTGAAAATAAAATAACAGGTCATTTACTTCAGCACTAGCTTATAGTAGAAAAAGAAGTATAGTCTAAATACCATACAGACCAACTCAGCTTATAGTAACAAATTTCTACTATCAAACATCTATTATAAAGTGCTACTATCAAAATCGTCTTGTTTCACTCATCACCTATATAATCCCACATATTATTCAAATAATTTTTAATTGATATAGTTATCAATTTCATGAATGTTCATAACTTGTTCGACAAAATGTCTTAGTCACTATTTATTTGTGAAGCTGGAATAATGTCTTGAATTACAAACAACTAAAACTACCATAAAATTCCTTGCAAATTTGCTTGCACTTTTAAAACTCTTCATCCTCATTTTGCTTAAATTGCTAATTCATACCAAACTCACTTGTTGGCATTAGTGTTTAAAAGTCCAACTCTTTATAACATACTTTTAATAATCTACAAACCTACTTGGATGTATTCAATCAATAGAAACAAGGTCCAATAGTGAAGTCACATAGCCACTATTCTACCAAAGGCAATGTTGGATGCTTCCAAATAAATGATTTTTTCTACACCTCCAAAGTCCAAATACATCAAGGCAATATTTTCCTTCAAAGTTCTCAGGTTCTTGTGCTCTCTACTTTTTTCTTCTTCTCCTAACTTCTTTTCTTTGTACTTTCACGGTTTCCTCTTTCTAGATTTTAACTTGTTGTGGGCTTTCTTGATATTTAAGTTAAATGTTCTTAAATCCAATTCTTCCATTTTTATTAGATTACACAATTCCACCATTCTATTAAGCTGGTCTTTTCAATCTTCTACTAACCGCTTCTATAAATACTCCATGTTAACTGAACTCATTTATTTTGAACACCCATTAATCCAATGGTCATAAACAATGTATAAAACTCATTATACTTCGAATATTCTGTTTTTAACTTATTTCTTTTCGAATATGCATTTTTTGTTTAGAAGAACATGGGTTTTTAGTACGTACTCATTTATTTTCTTTACACCCCAAGTGAGGTAGAATTGATTTTCTTTGCGATTTTTTCTAAATAAATGCTTATTAACAAATTAAAGTACATTGCAAACATTTTGAGATAAGCATTATGAAGGTTAACATCCTAGGGAAGCTAATTTATACTAAGATGGTCATTTGGGTTTAAATTTGAGTTTTAGTTTGGAAAACATCATATGCAAAGAAAGTCAAATGTTTGTGATGTACATCATTATATTGATGATGTAATTCATCCTCCCAATATAGTCAATGATCGAATTTGATTATGTCATTTAACTTTCCAAAGGAATCGCTGCTTTTACTTTGAATCATTTAGGCTAGGATCTTTTGATATCGGGGCAGTTTAAATTTTCTGGAAAATTGATCGATTCCCTATTACATAGCAATGAATAGCTGCATAAAATGATTCACTCTGTTGAAATAGTAGTTAATTATATGAAATATATATAGCTCAAGAGATAGGGAAATGCCAAAATGAAATAGTTAAGGTACTTACAAAATGGTTTAAGATTGATTTAGTAATGTAGTAGATCATTCTTAAGTATTAATGATGGAATTTGTGATGATACAATTTCAACCATTTCTACCGTCACACATTGATTATTGCCTCACTTATACCGAGCCAGCTTTATAAAGCATAATATCCATGAACTTTTAGACTATGTTAGGATATCAGAAAATGCTACATAAATTTATTTTCTCGTGTTTACTTTTACCACAAGAAACAACAACAATGAAACATGATTGTATTTTTTCTTCTACATGCGATTAAATTTTATAATTCTTCTTTCTATAATGGAAATGGATCAATAAACAAATAGTTTGAGCAAATACATATGTGTATACAAAATTTGTTTCAACAAAAAAGTTATTTCCGCATTATCTTTCCTTCTAAATCTTACTTATATTTTATTCCCTATTTTATATTTTGATCTCCTTAGGATTTTTCAATTCCAAATGGGCCCTTACTGAATGAATGCATCTAACTTGTGTTTCTAATGTGTTGGCCCTATTTTTACTTTTTACTCACGAAGTAAATGAAGTTTGTTCAAAACATTTTCTAAAGTTTAGTACACAAAAAGAAACCCATGTAATTGTAGACATGTGACTAAAAACAATTATAAATCACCACACACTAATCAAGTAAGAAAAACATATTACGTCTGTTCTTAAATATGTGCAACATATTAAGTTTTACACTATTTACATGTTCTACTTTGACTACAACTTATTTATTAATGTATTAATACAATATTTTTTTTTAAATGTTAAATTTAACTCATTGTAAAATTTCAAAGTTGTGTATCGGCAAATGTGAAAAGTGCGTTGTCGCACTTATTTAAGGACGAAGGTAGTATATATGTAAATGATTTTTTTATCATTTGTTGGGCATGAACCGCGCGTAGTGCATACTCCGTTAGTTAACTATATAATTATCTATTCCAACTAAAATCAATACCAACTCTTTAGATAAAATCGCTTTTTAAGCATAAGCAAACTCTTATTCTACCTCTATATAAGAATCAATTCGAAACACCGCTATATATGTCGCGTATATAGGACTTACAGGGTCTCTATATATTGGATAGATAGGAATTTCTTCATTGTTCATAAACATGGCTTCAGCCACCACAGGTCCTGCAATATATAGAGGAAAAAAGAAATTGATCGAAATAGGTGCTGAGTAAACATTAATTTAACAACGAAAAAAACAGAAATATAATAATAGAACCACACGAGTAGATTTATACAAAAAAGGTCGGCTCCGCGCGCCCAGCCTGTCCAGCCTACCCTTATAAATGGGTGGGCTTGGACATATGAATTTACCATTGTCCTAGCCCGCAATAACATATGAGTGGGCTTGAGTTAGGAAGTAGGACTGTTCGGGGGCACTAATATATACACATGAATGTGTATATATATATTGGATATATATATATCCAATATATATATATATATATTTAGGTTCAAGTGATGAGAAAACCATCTTAGGAGAGAAAAAAGAACAAATATAGACCATTAGATCATCTATTAATTATTCGGTGCTGCTAATGTGGTTGGAGGCTCTTCTTGTCATTTTAGGTTTCTTTTCTGTTATACGTGTAACAATCATTTCCGATGCTCACATTTCCATTTCGGTGCAACATATTCCTTCCTTAATTGTAGTGTTTCTCCATATTTCTTTTATTTCTTATTTTGCAATTTCATTTACGTAGGGTATGTCATCTTTGTTTTTGTGATTACAGTTGGTGTAATACTTGTATATCCGTATAATTCAGAAAAAAGGACTCTTTACATGTGATTGTATACATTTTACATTTGTGAATTTGCAGTAAACTAACCTTCATTTTTGTTTTGTGTTGAATGAACTGATTTTAATTTTAAGTTTGCAGATTTGCACTAACATTTTTTATGAATATGAAACATTTAATTTGATCTAACAATTATTGCACCTAAATGGTCATGTGATGGATTTTAGGTGTTTGGTATGGAACATTTCATGATAGTTAATTAGTTATCTATTTAATTTTCAGATAATAAAAATGATGGCGTTTTATTAAACTTTTGGTGCACTTATCATGTTTTAGTCATGCACTTTCACTAGCTTTTATTTTTTTTTACTTTTTTTTACATATACGATGCAGTGTCAATGGAGCAATTGTGATCCATTTGGAAGAAACAATGTCAACGTAAAATTGTAAAAGTATGATATAATAATGCACTTTTGTGTATTTCAAATGCACATGACAAAGGTGCATTTCATTTTGTAAAAAGAATGTATATAAATGTTTAGAAAGTGTTATACGAAGTATAATGCTGCACGTTTCTATACATTTGAAATGCACATTATAGTTGTTAGTTTACACCATTGTATATTTATGTCCATTTTTATGTAAAGTTGTTTTTATTTAAAACTTGTATAGAAGTGCACAAATACATGAGTAAAGTGTAGGTTCATCTTAAAGAATGTGCAAGGCAATGCGATATAAAACTGCACTTTTCAATCGTACAAATTATCTTGATTAACATGTTATTTTTGTTTAGATTCATTACATTGATGAATGTAGCTGGTTATTCAAACTATTAATAGTGTTAAAATATCCAAATACCTAATTAAACTGATGTTGCATAATGTTTCGCATAAAAGTGCAGGTGTTAAACCTTAAAGTGAAAAAAGATTAAACATAAAAAAATTAATGCCCAATTTGAATAAAGAATTTTTAAAATCAAATTTTTTATCATAATTGTATGTGAGTTGAATCTAGGTTTGGAAAGAAAATTAAAGTGAAGTAAATATTTAGTATATCATAATTATGATGGAGTGGAACCATATTAATTAGTATCCTAATTTTAAGATTTTTCCCATAAATTTACTAGTGCATCCCAACCGTTTTTTAGTGTTTTACCCAAAATGCCCTTTACTTGGTGTTTTAATGAACTCTTATCAATTACGAAGCCAACACGTGCGTCATCACATGCATTTTTTCTCCTAAATCTGTCACAAGAGCCGTAGGATTAGAAGAATGAAGGGTCCAAATTAGTTCTTTTTTCTTTCCTGGGAGTCCATTCTCACCGGAACCGCAGTGGCGGATCCAGAAATTAAATTTGTTGGGGGCATAAAAACATACACTGTTTCGCTACTTTATTTCAAACCACGAGTTATGCTTTATGTCTTGGTGTCATATGAAAGATTATAAAAGTTCATGAATTTTGATACTACCTTCGTCCCAATTTAGTTAGCCATCTTTGACTCTTCCAGTAAAAACTGGTAATCTTTGACCAATTATTTTAACTAATATATCTATGTAAAATTTAATTATTTTATACTTTTCTAATAGTACTTTTGACAAAGAACATTTTTATATCTTTTTCATATTATCAATACTTGTGTATATAAATATATAGCCGGTCAAACTTAGACATCATTGACTTGAGAAATAGTATTTGGCTATCTATAAAATGGGACGGTTTGAGTATATTTTTTGAAAAATTTGGAGAATAGATAAAAAAAGTTCTAAGAATTTGAAATCTTTGGAATTATAATGATGTAGGGATGACATGAGAATGAGAATGAAATCAACCCCACATCCATGCAATGCACCCTCTCCCTCTCCTTCCCAATTTTTTTTCTTTTTCCATTTGCCACTCCTATCAATCCACCCTTTACCCCCTTTCCCACTTTTAATACCTCATTTATTCTACTACTACATGAAATTAGGAGTCCAAAAATTTCAACTTTGACAATTTGGACTCCTAATACTACACCACTACAAATGATGCAAATGTTTACTTTTCTTGTACTTTTTATTATGATTAGAACATCTTCAATGCTACAATTTGCACAACGCACATGTGCCAATAGAGATAGCCGCACAAATATTATCAAATAAATTATCTCTTTCCTTATTTAATTACTGACAACAATAAATAAGTTTATATTAAGAAGCATTAAGATTACAATTAGTTTGACATAACATATGAAAGTTAGAAAGGACAAGTATATACATATGACAATAATCAATTTTATTTATATGTGAATGAGAATATGATTTCGTACTTTGGAAAAATTTCCCTAATTTTAATTAATCGCATGAGTTGTTAATATTAACTTATTAAATCAAATTTAGTTCCATTCAATTGTTGATTTGCATTTCCATAAAATTACATTAACACATGATTTATATTCCATTAATGCGGAAATGGGAAACATTGTGGGGGGGCAAAGGAAATAATTATTGGGGGCAAACTATTTCACTTTCAAATAAAAGTACTCTATTTACTACGGAGTATATATTTAGCTTACATCCGCCCCTGGTCCGAACCGCTCCCTATATAGAGCCCGTTTGGTAGCACCAAAATCAACTATTTTGGTTGATTCTGCTAAAATTTATGAAGTTCTGGTTGAAACGGCTGCATTGGTTGATTCTGCTGATTTAAGTATAAATTATTTTTAAAATATATTTTATTAATAAAACAAAGAAAAAATTATATGTAAAAATAGCTAAAATAATCATGTACAGTAACTTCAGCCAATACAGCCAGAAAAGTAACCACAACCTTACTTTTCTGCTTATTACAAAATTCTGTGTGCGCAAGCAAAAATTACGTGTTTGGTGAAAAAGTTGGCTGACAAGTTTGATAAGTCAAAAAAAAGTGTTACCAAACGGCCTCATATATAGACACACACTATATACACATATAATAAGTATTTATTTATTTATTAATATGTAGACGTGCATGTGGCCCACTATCTTTATACTCCGTATATAATTATGATTCATTATATTTAAATTTAAGCTTTTAGCTCTTAAATACTAGCTAGCTCAACCTATAATATCTATTCGTACACTTAATAAAGATAATATACTAGCTCTTAAATACTAGCTCAACCTATAGTAGCTTTGTGTTTGAATATTAAATTTTAGCTATATATAGTTTTTCATGATTATTTATTGTGTAAACATTTTTTGTGTATGTGGCTGGTGAGAGGCCTATGAACATTATTTATAAATTTATAAACACATTAGCAATTGTTAAAGTTATAATACCATGTATTATTTTAAGATTTCTAATATTTTGATAATTTTGAAAAAATGCAAGGTTTTCGGCGGCCAGACGGCCCGATGGACACCCGGCTCGCTCTTATGGGAGGGTATATATGAACATGTGATTAGACATGCTTGTTGCGGGCCGCATCGGACCTGCCCGTACTTATATATAGTAAGAAATTTTTGGAAAAGCCCGATCCGCGCATGCCCGTTTTTGTACAAGTGTACATATGAGTCGTAGTATTGTACTAAGAATGTTTTTAATTGGATTGAGTTTTTCTTGTTTGGTATGATCTTTTTTAGTATGGTCTCTGGGCTGAATTGATCTGGTCAGGTCTGGTAACTAGATATTTAGTCTATGTGAATTTAACAACTCTTGAACGAACTCTGATGTAGTCTGGTCTGGTCTATTTATTTCTGGCTAGTCTAAGTAAAAACATCCCCTTTACATGAAAAGAGTTTAAGTCGTGCTCTGGAACAAGCCGTAGAACTGGTCCGAGAACTGCACCGTAAATCCAAGATTGATTAATCCGGCTTGCTTAAAATATCTTTTCTCTCCATTTAATTTCGGATCTATCTTGCTAAATTAAAGAGAACCTTTTAAGCAAGAAAATAATCAATGATCATACAAAGAAAGGATTTTTTTCTTTGTATGATCATTGATTATTTTCTTGCTTAAAAGGTTCTCTTTAATTTAGCAAGATAGATCCGAAATTAAATGGAGAGAAAAGATATTTTAAGCAAGCCGGATTAATCAATCTTGGATTTACGGTGCAGTTCTCGGACCAGTTCTACGGCTTGTTCCAGAGCACGACTTAAACTCTTTTCATGTAGTCACTTACAACCAAAAGTAACACTAGTCGTTTGTCATCAACAAAACAATACGTTCCAACAAATTCCCCCTTTTTGTTGATGACAAACACTTGGTGCCCTAAAGTTAGTTTCATAATGAATAAGCCCAAAGTATCGAGCATAGAACACATAGGGCACATATTCTGGTATCAGAGCGGGTCGTGCTTATATTGTCGCGTGGAATGGTGGGGTCCTCGTGAGGGACGAGGACTATGCGAGCATGGTGGCTTAAGGGCC